AGTACCGGAAGAGACGCGTTAAGACCGGTGCCAACTCAGGAGCACATGTCTTTAGCACAATGGGAGGGATACCGTCGGGCCCACTCGACTTGTTGACATCCAGAGAACGCAGCGCTTTGCGCACTGACCTCTGGATGAACTGGATGTTCGACATGGAGGTCCCACCGCCAGGGATTTTGGGCGGCGATTTACCTCTGTCATCCAGTGTCGAGTTAGCTGCAAAGAGTGATGCCAGTAGATCGGCCTTCTCTTTAGCAGTGTGGGCCAACGAGTCGTCCTCCCTGCGCAAAGATGGTAGTGATGGGCGACAGAAGTTTCCTTGGACAGCCTTGGCGAGAGACCAGAACGCACGCGTTCCAGATGGAAGGCGCACTAGCTTCTCACCAATGCTGGCCACGTGTTCGGACTTTGCCCTTGCAATTACTCTTTTGAAGGACCTGGAGGCGAGGTTATACTTCTTTCTAAGTTCTCTGGTGGTTTCATCCCCCGCTGCCGATGCTACAGCCCAGGCACGGTAACATTCCCGCTTGTAGCGTAAAGCTGACTTACAAGAATGACCGAACCAAGGCCGGGTTTTACCACCGATGGGCACTACAGATGATGGCACAAAAAGTTCCATCCCCTGAAGCACCACATCGGCAATAGAGTCGGCAACGGCGTCGGGACCGTCCAGATTGAAGCAAACCTGCCCCCATGGGTAGGATGCAAAGAAGGTCCGCATCCCGTCCCAGTCTGCTGACCTGTAGTGCCAAACTTGACGGCAACCAGTTGGTTGTGAACGTAGGCGTCTTGAGATTGGCACTATTGTCCGGACAAGGCAGTGGTCCGACGAGCCCAAGGGGGCATCTACGGACACGAGATAGCCGTCCGGATGAGAGGTCAGCAGAAGGTCCAACAGGGAAGGTAAATGGTCCTCCACATCTGGGATTCGCGTGGGCGAGGTTACCAGCTGTGTCAGATCATTTGCTAAGGCAAAGTCGTGAACAGATCTCCCCGCGTGGTCAGTGGTACGTGAGCCGAGCCATTCGGCATGGTGAGCATTAAAATCGCCAAGTACCACGACCTCAGCAGAAGGGATCTGTTCCAACACGGACTCTGTGCCCATTTGGACTAGCTCCATGAGTTGGTCAGTATCGGTATTTCCGCCATGGGACCTATATAGGCACGCGTAGACACGCGGATGGTCATCGCTATCTACGCGCAGCCACAGAACGGATAGGTCCCGGCCTTCAAGGTGGGCGAGGCGACGAGAGCAGATATCCCCCCGGATGTACACACAGACCCCAGCTCGTGGCAAAAAGCAATACTCGAGCTTATACCCGGGGTAATGAAGAAAAGATGTGTCCGCCGGAGAAGATATCTGCGTCTCAGTCAAGAAGAGCAAGGCCGGCTTGGCCGTCTCAAGGTGGTGGTGAACGGCTTCGAGGTTGGAACGGAGCCCCCTGACATTACAGAGATCCACAGATAGGGTAGCAGGGGATGTCGAACGGCGCTTGCTATGTTTGCCCCGACCAGCAGCAAAGAGCGGGATTGGGCCCCCCCCAGAATACGTGGGGCCGCCCGCGCACCTACTCCCAGACTCCAGACGGGAGTTCAGGCGTAAGTGCGCGGAGGGGGATTCTCCAAAAGTTTTGGTACCCCCCTGGGGTAGACTCTCTTTAGATCCCACTGCCATGCTAAATTTGGGGGGGGGGGG